TCAGGCTTTGAAGCCTCCCCAGGGCCAGCCCTGCCCTGCTGCTGTCTGTGCGGCTCCTCCCACCTCCTCCAGATTCCTCCCTGGCATGTTCTCCCTGTTTTCACTGTCTTCCTGATTACAGAGTATGTCAGTGTGGCAGGATAATTTACTGATATATTAATTTGGGTTTTTTATCTCAGTGTTTGCTGGCTCTGTGCTACAAAGGAAGCCAGACCTCTCTGTGCCCTGCCTCAGGGGAGGTTTGTTTTAAGAGGCCAAAGCCAAGACACCTGGCTTTTGTTTCCCCAAAGCTCAGACTCCCAGAGGAGTTCTTGCCAGCAGCTGGAAGGGAATGGAAGCCTTGAGAGCAGGGAGACAGGGAAGAGAATGGTGAGAGAGGTTTCCAATGATGGAAAGGGGGAGGGTAGCTATAGGATCAGGCCACCAACAAGGACAGACTCCTGGAAAAGTGACAGTGTCTCAAAGAGGGTGGGCTTTCCTGAGTCAAAACCACCAGGCCCCAGGTCCAGGCCTCCAGACTTGGCAGCAGAGCTAGAGCACACAGAATGCAGACAGCGCACACAGAAACAGAGCAGAGGAGACAGACAAAGAGTCAAACTGTGAACCCTAACGTCAGCATCTGCTAGCCACCAAGCATGCTTCCAGGAACCACAGGACAGGAAGAGGCATGTCTCAAGGCAACCGTGGATTCCCACGGACGTCTGAGACTCAGGGAAGAGATCTGCCTTAGATCACATATTGTGGACATGGAGTCAGACAGAACTACTGAATAAAGCCATCAGCGTGTTGTATGATGATCAGAATGGCATGCAGTTCTCCTCCACACAACTAACAGCGCCTGCTCTTGATGTGGGTACTGTGAAAACAGCAGCCCAGGACTGGGGTCTTGAAGGAGTCAACAGGTATGTGCTTGTGGCTCCAGTGAGTGCTGAGAGCGTTCCTCCAACGAAGCAGCAGTGAACACGTGCAGAGCAAACTGGCTAACAGAGATGGCCTGGACTCCCGGGCCTTTTGCAGTGCTTTGAACTTCCCTTGTGCGACCTGTTAGCATCACTTGCCCTTTCTTGTTCAGTCTTACTTTTTCCATCTGTAAAATGGAACTCCATTAAGCACCTAGCACAATAGCTCATCGGACGATGTTAGGAGCTGTGGTTATAGCTACTGGGTGTCTGGCACTGCTGAGGAACAAAGCTAACCTTCTCCACAAGGTATCCACAGTCTAGTTGGTGGGAGACTGACCCAGGCGCTTTCAGTGTAGTGGATTAAGTGTTATCTGCCATCCCATTATGTGGGACTTGACTCAGACTTCACAGACGAGGAGAAGTTCCTGCAGAAGTTAATGGCCTGAATCTTTACAAGCAACAGGGACCTTTACCCTATTGTGGGGTGAAAGCATGAGCCTGTGCTGTTCCCATTCCATCCTGAGAATGGCTTCTGGGTCCAGGCACTCTCTGATCATGGCCCCAGGAGTGAATCTGTGAGCTCAGAGCCGTGAATGACTTGCATTTCCGGAAACCTCACACCAATCTTACTGAGAAGCCAAGGGTGCTCAGGGCAGCCCATACACTCCCCAAGCCCAAATTTCCAGTGTTGCCTGGAGTGAGATGTATAAAGGGAATTTTCCACGAGTCGATTAAGTTCGCTGGCCAAGTGACATAGAAAGGAAAAGTGAACGGAGGATTCTGGTGGGCCAAGTTCAAAAGCCTCTGGTTGTAATTCCCAGATACAAATCTGCAAGGTACTAAAATCATGGAGTCAATTTCCAAGGTGCAGAAGTGGCAGAAACACACACCTGGCATAGCACAGATCAGAACACAGGATAGAGAGCCTCTCTTCCCAACACCAGGGCTACCTGTCCAGTGAAAGAGGAAAGACTGAGTCTTTCTCTTCCCTGGCTCCAAGCTCCAGGACACATGTTCACATTAATAATAATAATAAATAATAATAATAATAATAATAATAATATTTAAATGTAAGAAAATTATGTTCCATTTGGCTGCTTCCACCTAGATGCAGAAGTCTTGTTAGGAGCTGGCAATACCAGCCTTCACTTTGAATCACTTCAGTTTGTATCAAACTAAACATAGCATAGAACCCCGATCCTTGGGTTCCCCCAAAAGGTGTATCTTGTCACCAGCACAAAGATTGAGTTCAACTTGTCTATTCTAAGACACCAGAGCATGGAGGATCAGAACAAGCCGTATCGACTCCACGTATTTATTTATTACTGGATTCACTGGTAAAGACAACCTGAGTTATCATTTCACTAAGAAAACCTGAGAGGCATTTGTATTCACGAAGCACAGAAGCCAGACAGGCTCTAAAGAAAGCGTTTTATACAAACTGCCCAGCAAATCTCCACACCACAGCAGCTACCTGAGCTGAGTGAATGGGCCTGGTGACAGGAGCCATCTAAAAAGCTCCTCCCCATCCCTTTCCCCCTCCCTGTGCCAACCCTCAAAGATTACAAATACAACCATTTGTGACAGATTGCTCCCCTGTCTTCCACCTTAAATTCTATATGATAAATTCAACAGGAAGTGACAGTCACGCAAGTGTTCCCAGCTCTGTCTAAAAAAAAGAAAAAAAAAAAACTAATTTAACTGAAGTTAGGACTCAATGAACGAGAAAATATGAATGAACGTCCAGGGCATATCTCTAAACTTTATTCTCCATGAAAGCCATAATGGTTATTTATGGTCAGGATGATATTAATATTTTAAAAGATTTCGCTAAGAAGCGCTCTGAGACTTTAAAATGGTATTGTTATACAAAGACGACAATATTTCAGTAGACATTTTCCTGTGCTGCTATGCTAATGGAGCAAGAAAGGAATCTATGGCTTCTGTCACCCCAGCAGTAACCAGAGGAAACTATGCTGAGTAAGAGAGAGAGAGAGAGAAAGAGAGAGAAAAGAAAAGAAAAGAAAAGAAAAGAAAAAGAAACCTTATAGGCTGCTACTATCTGTTTAAATTAGGCAAATGTTATTAAGAAATCAAACACACATGGGCTCCAATGGTGGGAAAATTAAGATCGCCAGTTGCAGCTCTCATCCAGCTCCTTGGCTGACTCTGGGGTTTAGCCTCTCCAACTGCATGGAATGGAAAGAGCTTGCTAGTGTCCTTGTTAATGCAGACTGACTAGGTAACTAGAAATAAAACCTGCAGGCTTTTGTGACAGGGCTAGTGTATAACAGAAACATTTTGAGAAGGTAGAGTTCTACTCTGAGGATGAGATCAGGATTCCTTCCCTGTTTTTCATACACCTAAGCTCATGATTAAAAGAATGTTTTTTCTTGCCAGTGTAGTAGGCATTGTTCTACACACCCCCCCTTAGAATCCTTACACGGTGGCTCATGCCGGTAATCCCAGCATTTAGGAGATGGAGGCAACAGGATCAGGAGTTAGAGGCTAGCCCTGGCTATATTAGACCTTGTCTCAAAAAGAAAAGAAGGAAGGAAGGAAGGAAGGAAGGAAGGAAGGAAGGAAGGAAGGAA